AGGGTGTAGAGGCTCACATCTATAATTTTAGCACTCCAGGTGCCTGAAGTGAGAGATCACTTGAACTCAAGAGTTTGAGATCAGCCTAAACAAGAGTGAGACCCCATCTCTACTAAAAATAGAAAAATTAGGCCAATGTGGTGGCTCACTCCAGTTATTCCAGCACTCTGGGAAGCCCAGGCATTTAAACTGCTGGAGCTCAGGAGTTCAAGACCAGCCTGAGAAGAGTGAGACCCTGTCTCCAATAAAAATAGAAAAACTAGCCAGGTGTAGTGGAGCAAGGCTGTAGTCCCAGGTACTCAGGAGGCTGAGGCAAGAGGATTGCTCAAACCCAAGAGTTTGAGGTTGCTGTGAGCTATGATGCCATAGCACTATACCCAGGATGAATGAGTGAGACTCTGTCTCAAAAGAAAAAGAAAAATTAGCCAGGTATTGTGGCAGGATGCCTGTAGTCTGAGCTACTCAGGAGGTTGAAGCAGGAGAACTGCATGAACCCAGGAGTCTGAGGTAGTTATAAGCTAGGCTGATGTTCACTAGTTGAAGCAAGAGAGCAAGTCTCTATCTTCAAAAACAAAAACAAAAAAAATCATGTACAAAAATTAGAATATTATTGGGGCAGTGCCTGTGGCTCAAAGGAGTAGGGCACCGGCCCCATATGCCAGAGGTGGCAGGTTCAAACCCAGCCCTAGCCAAAAATTGCAAAAGAAAAAATTAGATTATAATGAAAATAAAACTTCTTATTCATTAATTATTTTTTGTTGTGGATGGAGACTCAGGACCATAATTTATAGCCTTAATTCAACATATAGAATAGAGTCCTTTTCTAAAAATAGGAACACTATATCAAATACATGATCTTACAGAGAGAGCTGAATCTGAGGGAAATCAGCTGAAGTGTCCTTATGCATGAAATCTCCAGCCCATTTAGAAAATGAAGGAAGATATTCCTCTATTTCTTGTTTGATTTCATCTTGATTCAGATTTAAGCGGTACCTGCCAAAATAAGAGATATTAAGGATGAAAACATAAATATGAGAAAACTAAATAAGGACAAAAATATTCAGATAAGCAACCTAAGTGTCCATCAGTCAGTAAATGGAAAAACAAAAGTGTGGCACACCCACACAATACAGTATTATTTAGCCATAAAAAGGAACTCTGGCACATGATATAACACACACGAACCCTAAAGACATTACACTAAAGGAAATAAGACAGTCACCAAAGGACAAATATTGACTGACTGTACTTATATGAGGCACCTAGGGTAGTCAAAACCACAGAGACAGGGTAAGGTTGTGTCTCAGAAAATAAAATGTCTAAAAGCACTTAACATAATGCCCAGCATATGTCAGGGTTCAAAAACATCATTAGAACAAAGTGCATGTCATCAGTAAATAAGCTAGGTGAAATTGCAGAAAACATCTTTCCTATATAAAAAGTGTTAATTAACCACAAAAGTAGGGCTAGGTGCGGTGGCTCACGCCTGTAATCCTAGTACTCAGGGAGGCCAAGGAGGGTAGAATGCTAAACTCACGAGTTTAAGGCCAGCCTGAGCAGAAATCAAGATCCCTTCTCTACTAAAAATAGAAAAACTGAGGGCTCAGCGCCTGTAGCTCAAGCGGCTAGGCCACCAGCCACATACATCAGAGCTGGTGGTTCAAATCCAGCCAAGGCCTGCCAAACAACAATGACAACTACGACCAAAACTAGCCAGGTGTTGTGGCAGGCACCTGTAGTCCTAACTACTTAGGAGGCTGAGGCAAGAAAATCACTCGAGTCCAAGAGTTTGAGGTTGCTGTGAGCTGTGATACCACAGCACTCTACCCAGGGGGACAGCGTGAGACTATCTCAAAAAAAAAAGAAAAAAGAGAAAGGGAGGGAAGATGATCACTTGAGCCTGAGTTGGAGGCTGCTGTGAGCTATGATTGCCATGGCATTCTACCCAAGGTGACAGCTTGGGACTCTGTCTCAAAAAAAAAAAAAGGGGGTGGCCCCTGTGGCTCAAAGGAGTAGGGCACCAGCCCCATATGATAGAGGTGGCAGGTTCAAACCCAGCCTAAGCCAAAAACTGCAAAAATTACAAAAAAAGAAAAAAAAAAAGATCCCATAAAAGTAGATTCTGGGAAATGTAGGTTTATATCAACTAGTCTAAAAATCAAAATCACCACTAATACAAAAAAAAAATTTCTGTGAAAAAAAATGTGGACTTTATATAAATTAAAAAAAAATAAATACAGTAGAATGTGCCAGTCTTTCTATAGGTAGTCATATGTAAAATATCAATAATTAGCCATATGTGGGTTCACAAATTACCTTCATTGTCACAAAACCACTTAATGGGTATTATCACCTTTTTTTTTTGCAATTTTTTGGGGGTTTTTTTGGCCGGTGCTAGGCTTGAACCCGCCACCTCCGGCATATGGGGCCAGGGCCCTACTCCTTTGAGCCACAGGCACTACCAGTATTATCACCTTTTTCAAAAAATAATTTTTTTTTTTTCAGACAGTCTCATTATATTGCCCTCAGTAGAGGGCCATGGTGTCAAAGCTCACAGCAACCACAAACTCTTGGGCTTAAGTGATTCTCTCGCCTTAGCCTCCTAAATAGCTGGGACTACAGGCGCCCACCACAACACCAGGCTATTTTTTTTGTTTATAGTTGTCATTGTGGTTTAGCTGGCCAGGGCCAGATACAAACCCACTTCCCTCAGTATATGTGGCTGGTGCCATACCTTTTTTTTTTTTTTTTGAGACAGAGCCTCAATCTCTCCCCCTGGGTAGCGTGCCATGGCATCACAGCTCACAGCAACCTCCAACTC